CCACAGTTATCATTATCACCAATGTCTGCTTTTCCGGTCACTAATGATAGTTCCAAGTTTTTTTTTTTTATATATCACAAAGTCATAAAATATGTAATTCTGAGTGAAGAGTAAGTTTTTGTAGGTAATGCATTTTGAACTGGTTATAATTATTCTTATTTTTCTCGGATATTTTCTAGTGCTTGTTTTAGCAGATACACACGTTTTTCATGTTCATGTCGTACGACTATCCACTATGTCTCGTCTGCTCGATTAAAGTGACATCATTTGTGAATCATGTCGTTTGTTAATACAGTTTGTAAAAGAGGAATCTTATTTTGAATAGTTAACACTCATGATTAAATATATAGCTCTGTGAAGCTTGATTTTTAACGTTTCTTTGTTGGCATAAAACAAATGAAAACTAATATCTCAAAGTTTAGACTGATGTGTATAATCTTCATATACATCTTGTTTTCTTCGTTACGTCTAGATTGCAATCAATGTGGTATTTCCTTTGAGTATAATTGTATGCTTTTTTTTCATTCCAGATTTTTTAAAGAATTAAAGTGACTTTATCAATAATTGTATACTTTTACTGATCATGTGTAGCAGATTATAACTTGCTGGGCTGTTAGTTCCAGATTATTTCTGCAACCTCTGAATTAGTGCAACCTGATATCTTTATCTCTTCAAATGATACAGAAATTGCATAGCTTCTTTTCAAAATCCCAAATCATTAGATTTTAAGTTAAATTTGGTATTGTAAATTATTTTTTGACCAATAGAATATTAGCTCTTTCCTTAAGAATTGTAGTATGCAGTGAATTGATTATGGTTCTTTTCAGAATAGCTTGTGACTGTATGTTTGTGAATTACCTTCTTTATTACAAACAAAAGGTGAAGGGCCATTCTTTATTACAAACAAAAGATGATATGATACGTGAAAAAACTTTTATACATTCTTATCTTGCAACTTACTTTCAAAGAATAGAAGGGGAAAAGAAAAGATGACAGGAGGATATACGACTAAAGAAAATGTAGCGGATGAGTTTTTGCATCGTCTTAGTGTTTTCCTCATTTTTAGAATTATGGTGAAATGTGTTATCATTGTCAGTTCGAAAATTAGTCTTAAATGTATGTTTTAAAGGCAACTAAGAGATTTTATGGGATGATGTTATCTTTTAAGGACATCATGTTTACAGTGTAATCAATTAAGACATGACAGTTTCTGAGGAGAAAACATCGACTAACCTCGAATGAACCACTTTACTTTTGGAGACTTCAATATTCATGGATTTATCCCGAAATTTATATCTAGTGCTTAGTGAGATGTACTCTGACCAATAATACCCTTACGGAAACAACAAGGAATATTTTGGAATTTTGACTTATCATTTTAACATGTAGACGAGAATTTCTTGAGATTTTCTATTGAAACGCGTCCAAAAGCCATAATAATCGCTTTCTTGATCAAATATAATATGAATCAGCCATTTGTCCAGCATATCGTTAGTAAGAGTAACAACCCGAAATCCATAAAATCATGTTATTAACAAGTCTCTATAAATGATTTCAGTTGTAGCAATATTCGTTCGCTCATGAACTTCAAAAAACAGAAGTTTTCTTGATTCCGAGAAACAAAATTTGAAAGCAGCTGCTTCTTGTCTCAGACAGGAGCAAAGTATCTTGTGCTACTGTTTTTACGGGTAGAAACAAAATCATCCAATAACCACTTTGTTATTTTAAAAGATATTTTTGTTAATTAAAGTCATGAAATTTTGTAATCCCAAAAGTAACGTTTTTCCTAAGTCTCCAAATTCATCATAAAATCAACATGATGACTTGATTCTGTCATTTCAAATTATATTATTCTAATTAGTCGAAAGTGGTTGATGGACTAAAAAGAGTGAAGCTAAGGTTGATATAATTTAAAATCACCAAATTGCTCAAGACAAAAATCTTCATTCTAAGGTCGGAAAGTAAGATTTTAATTTTCAATTCGGTTTTAACATTTTTAAGGGGTCGATTTTAACAATTGCAAGTCAGTGATTTTTTTTTATGAAGATTACAATTTATAATCAGGCGCAATATATTAATTTATTAGAAAATCTTCAAAGTCTGATTCGTTTAACAATTTTGATTCGATTTCAATCAAAAAAGCAGATATTTTCCAACTACTTAAAGCCTACGAATACATTTCTTTGATAAGATTAGGATGTGAATACGAATGAAATCAAAAGATTAAACTAAAATAAGCGATTGCTTAGTGCACCATTAACTTGTAACTTTTGTTGTTTGAATAAAAATTTAAGAGACAGTAACTGTACAACAAAACTAGTATCAGCTATTTGTACCATTCCCATAATATGTCCTGTTAATTGGTACCACATTAAATAATTATAGCATAAAAGCTTCTTCGAAAGAAAGATAAGATTCCGACAACGTTTTTGTCAACAAAGTAACGTTTTACTAATTAGTGAAATAAAGCAAGCAAATATATGGCGCACACCTGAAAGGTCCTAAATGGCGTAATGCATTTTGAATTTTCTATCTGTCTACTTCGATTTTACAACTACCAATATAAATGGTCTCATCTGCTTTCTTTTCACTTACATATTCATTCCGGAAGAATTTTTTGCTTTATTCTAGATGGATTCGTTTTCAGACATTTCTAGTTCATACTTACCTACCGACAAAACTGTTTTTTCTCTTTTTTTTTTTTTTTTTTAAAGAAGTAGAATAATTTTTGCTAACAATTAGTACCTGCTTTCACTAGCTACCTACTTCTGTGTGATTCAAAAATAATTAATTGGTGAAATGATCATTCTGAAAAGCCATTATTTATCGCATTTCAAACATTTAGATGTGTCATACAATCATCAGCTGACGATATCACTTTGATAAGCATATATTTTATGTTATATTTCTTATTATGTTGTATTTGTTACTGATTGTAGGTCACAGAACTTACATCTTACAGAGTTTCCTTGGTGTATTAAAGACTCAGGCAATCAGAAAGTTTTTAAAGAAGAAGGTTTCAATCAAACCAATTAACAATTGAAACTCTGAAAATCTCGCTTAATTATTTCAATAACTATTTCAAGCTTCTCCCAATATTAAAAACTAATATTATCATTTTTGATGAAAGATAAAAAGCAAAAAAGAATATAACTGGCAAAATATGAGCTGATCTTGAATTCTGCATCGGTAAGCCAGAGCAAGCATAAGTTTTTGCTTTCTTTTTATTGCTGCATCAAAAGCAATCTTCGCAAGTAATATTCGGATAACATAATGATAATAATCAGTGAAGATAGCACCAGTAGAGTTCTGTATTAAGCCAAATGCAGCGAGGCTGAATAGTTAGCCTATTACTCAAGTTTAAATTTCATCTTTTGTTGCACAGATATGAAGCCTTGTAAAGCATTAGATGAATGAATGTAGGCAATTTCTCATCTTCTGAATATAGCCATGTTAATTAACATTCGCTCGATCGCTCCTTTTCTTTCTCACAGTTATTCAAAATGTAATTTTTATGATAAAAACACTCTTCATTTTAACTTGTCATCGTTGCTTCAGTGCAATCACAAATTAGTTTTATCAATTTTTCTTGTTAAGTATTAATAAGGTCTTCCCCACCTCCTTTTCTAATTTCTTAATAATTAGAAATGTCTACTACTCAGAGCTTTCAATTGAAGAGTGAAACAGCAGATAGACAATGTAATCCTCAAAACAATCAGCAAAGATTATTCATTTCCATACCTTAATTAAATGCACTTTTCATGGTTTATCAACGATTATCAACAATTCCCATCTGAAATAATGCCAGACTGGACTGGACTGGAATGAAATGGTACAAGACAGTGTTATGGTTTTATCACTAAGCAGTTTGTAATTTTCGATCACTAATCATAAGAATGTCAAACAAATTTGTTCTTTCAAAACATGCATTTTTAATTGCTCACTGATTGAGACATGAAAAGCTCAGAAGAAATCCTTAGTGATTCTGATAGATGAATCTCTAATGGCGCATTTAGACCATTTAATAAGAGCTGACTTCGTCTCCTATACTATAATTCCAAAAATTTCAGGAAATACAAAATATTGCTTTCATAAACTTTATACTAAGTTTTACAGATATAATTATGCTATTACCACCAACTCAATATCCTTTATGTACTTAATTGTTCAATTGGGTCTCTTGTAAAACTTTCATCTTTCTTTATCTAAAATTAAACTTCTCATCAACTCTCAGATTTTTTTAACTTAATTTTCACAGCATTCTTCGCTTTTTTTTTGTTATCTCTACTCCCAGACTTTGTTCTTTTTCAGGAGGCAATGAGATTTTTATTTAAAGGAATACAACAAACTAATTTTGCACCTCAGTTACAGCCACTGGATTGCATTTTACTAATGTGCTGACAAAGCAGTTGATGGTTGGAATTGCCTTCACTTCTAAATGCGGGAAGAATTCAGGAAACATTTTAAGGCTAATTTAAATATATATATATATATATATGATTCTTTTGTTCTTGTTTTACATCTTTCCCAATATTAGACAATGAAGAATTCTCTTCAGACAACGTATCTACAAATATAAAATATAAGCCAATTGATTACAAGTACAGTAATTCATAATTAAAAAGTAGATAATAAACGAAAGACTAGACTTAACAAATATTTCTGTTCATGTATATACCAATTTAAAAAATCCATGACGAACTCTTTAAAACAAACATTTTCACGGTGTTTTTCGGTGTAAAGAATTTGCAACAAAATGCTTCAAATTATAATGCAATTTTCTGTATTGTTTAGATGTTTTTCTTTCTTCATTATTATTTTCCAAATGACAACCTCTTCAATCCTTTCCATTTCTTTTCTTGGTGTGACAAACTAACTTATCATTTATTGCTCTATTAACAGAAATCAAATTTTAGCTAATATCCTAATAATTATCAAGCGATAACCACGGAAACATTACAGGACAATTCTCTCTCAAAATTTTTTAGTGGAATGACCAGATGATGTCAAATGCGCAAAAAAAACGTGAATATTTCTTACGAAATGCAGAAATGTCACTTAGTGTACCAATTCGAAGAAAATGGTACAGAAAAGGTATATAATTATTAGTCCAAAGTTTCATTTTCTTTGCTCACTCAAAATTTGAATAATTGAAAATTTGCAGTGCCTGCAATGGATTTTCAAAAAAATACCGCTCAAGGGAGCTGTTCTGATTTGGTGAGTCAGCTTTTCGGCCAAATCACTTTTTTCCTTGAGCACAAAAACAGGCTTTTAACTCAACATATGATTAACTCTGGTGAATAGACAATTCAAATGTATTGCTGACAGTAGAATACATGTTGGTAATGTCTCTATGAACTTCCACATTTTCTAAATCAGATTACCTTATTGAAGTCGGCTTTTTTAAATTTTTCCTCTTGAGCAAAAATTAAATTCTCATTAAATTTTTGTTTTATAATACCATATATAATATATAAAATACTATACTAATAGTATAGTATTTTATATATTATAGTAGTTATAGTAGTAATTTCATAGTAGTAATTATAGTAGTAATTTTATAAAAAAATACTATTTTTGTTTGATTTAATTTCGACTCATAACATAACAGAGAAAAACGGAAACTGAAAATTAATGTTTAAGTAACTGAAAAAATTGACATTCTCATTGAGCACATAGCAATAAAGTGTGATACAACCAGCTAAATATTTATCAATATGTTCCTAAGACGATCATATGAGATACAACTATTATTACCGATCCTTCCTTCACATGTTGGGTGAAGTATTGCTAGAAGTCGTATTTAATAGGAAAACGATATGCTAAAAGCTGAGATTAGTACTGTTCAGAAAGTCATTGTTGCAGAGGATGAGCACGACTTCTAATCAACTGATCGGAGCAGTAGCAACCTGGCATAGCATTCATGCAAGCTTGATGAAACTTGGTCTTTCAAGTGACTGTGTATCATCAGGAAAAGTGATGAAAACATCATCCAAATCATCTACCTCATCGAGTAGCAGATATTCCACCGATTCATTCATCAGCTATATCAGCGATGACTGTATGCTGAAACATACACATATCAAAATCAGATTTAGAAACCGGAAGAGATCAAGAATTCCAATGTTTACTATATTTCTATCGTTCCAAGCTTAATGACCAGTGCAAAAAATAATCAATTCATAAATTGCATTGCAGCATTGAATGGAAATCAAACCAGCGATGAAAGTCTGGATGATGAAAAATTATTTAACTGCCGACCGAGACTATCCGTTTCAAATCTAGAACTTCGAAGTTCACAGCTGAAAGAAATGTTTCCGGGGTTGTCGGAACACTGGAGGTGTTTTTAAATTTCATTTCTTTTTTTAGTTTCATGTTTTCCCCAAAAAGAAGAAAAAGAGAAGAAAGTTGACAGATTGCAAGAGCAAGCGAAACTGTATTAGTCAGTCTTGATAGATGTATAATAAAATAATTAGCTACATCACTGCTAAGATTTATTGCGTTTAAGCATATACAGTTTATGAAACTTAAAATATTCTCTATTATCAAATTAGCCTAGAAAGAAAAGAATAAACAGTTATCGAACAACTAAGATGAAATATGTACACAAATCTTTGGCTTTTTCAGAAGGTTCTCAAGACATACTGATTCATTTATGCAGTGCCATAAAATCAGAGATGATTAGGACCTTTATTACTAATTGACCCTCCTTAAAACCTATTACAATACTTCTATGCAATTTTTTCTTCGATTCATAGCAAAGGAAAAGAAGACAACATTTTGTCGTCACTTTTTACTTTCCATTTAATGAGCCTTTTCTATTACTCTTTTTCTCACCGCTTAATCAAATTATCAAAATCAATTGAAAATCACAAGCATTATGAAACGGAAAAAAGTAAATAGACCTAAGATTCGAAGAAAATGGAAAAGGCATAAGAGGTTTCACGAAATTATACATTATTAATGGAATTCAAATTTAATTAAAATTTTGGAGAAATTCTTCGAATTATAACTCTATCGACAAATGGTCGTATCTATTTTTAGAAAAGAAATGAATTTCTCACTCTTTATTTCGAGAGAAAATCAATGATACAATTCTATTCCTCAATATATAAAATGAATGAATGGACAGTATGAAAGAATGAAATTAAAGTTTTTTTCTGGCTTGTGATTAACTGACTTCCTATATCCCAAATATCATTTCAGGACACTTTCTGAAAAAAGGGAAAGAATCCCTTGCACGAAGTGTTAGAAAAAATTCGAATTTTAACAATAAGATAAAATAACTAAAAATGAAGTTCATCAAAGCGGATGAAAATGCCAAATATGTACGTTTTTAAACTTTCATCAGGTGGAAGAGAAAATTATTATTGGTTTAGGGTTCACAATACTGCATAAATATACTTGTACCTAAATTAGTTTAGTAGAAATTTATTCACCTTCTTCACGTCATTAATGACATACAATACTGCTACGTCCTGATGACACCTTGTTACTGTCAGTAGGATACTTTGTGGATAATTATATTGAAGTGTGAAGTGAAGTTACAAATAGCGCCTGATCGTCGTAACAAATAAATAATCATATCAGATTAACAGTATAAAAAAAAAGTTTGAATGAAGTGATCTAATTACTTAATTAATTGGGGAAGTACAAAATTGCTCTAAAAAGATGTACAAGCAAGGATGGCTGGAGAGGAGTAAGAGCGAAATAGTAAGAAGATAGATGAAGAAAGAGTTGTCACCTACACTACCCAACCCACATTCCATTTCGCTTTTCTCTGTCGCCCGCACTACCCAACCCAACCCAGCACTAGCAACCACCCACCCGTCCTCTGCTGCACCATGCACACACTCACACCTATCCTCGGTCGTCTCCTCATACAACAGCACTCTGAGTCGCACTATTCCATTCCTGTGTTGTTGTGTCGCCACGCCACGCCACACCACACCACACCACGCCATGCTATGCCATCCCGTCCCGTCCCCAACACCGTTGGTGTTGCCTTCAGCAGCACGCCAACCACCCTCACGCCTACCCGTGTGCAATTGTGCAACCGGACTGCTGCACTGCTCAGTACTACCCCCGCCTCTGATCCGTTATCGCTCCTCTTAGAACAGCCAAACATTCAATATGCAGACTGTGCTGTGCAATTCCGATGGCTTAAACCTTATTCCGGTGGTAGCATTTCGTCATGCTTTTAGCATTCGCTACCATTTCTATTAGAGCATCTCTCATACCGTCTCACTTATTGTAAATCCGCAAAACTCTAATATTATCGGTGCTTTACCTTATTTTTCATCTTCATTGAAAAATGACCGTTCATCAATATCGTTTAACTGAAAACTGATCGTATCGCAGATTTGATGTGCGTGAAATGAATATACTCTCGATGAAAATCCTCTCAACATTGCTGAATTCCTGATATCCTGTCAATATTTATTAAACCTAATCAGGAACAAAGCGATTAAACATGGAGGAACATAGCTGCTGCACACCTTATATTCCGGATCACATTTCCACAAAACCTCTAGGCGGAACTTTTGAGGCGGGAGAAACGGAAATTAAAAGTTCTTCAGTCACAGATTCTTCGACAAAAAGTTTTCAAATTGTTAAGAAACCGACATCCGTAACAAATCCGTCATTTTCCAAAGTGAGTCTTTCGCGGACTTGTTTCTCTATCGACAGTTCAGATAATTTATCGCCACCAAAAACACAGAAGAAACCGCTGCTGATCCGCGCTGAAGCAATAGATCTGTCCAGTATCCCATCTGGCAACAACAATAACAGCAGTATCAGCACAAATTTAAAGATGAAACATGACGTGCGACCTCATCTACTTGTTTCATTTTTTGCGAAACACTTCGAAAAAATGCACAAAAGGATGACGAAGAGACCGTTAGGATCATCACTGTCCTTTGATTTGGATGAACGTCAAAGAGTGCAAACGTTGCAACACGGACGTGATTCGCAGGAAGACAGTATCCTCTCACTATCTACTAATAACATGAAATATCCCAGCTCGTTGTACACCGGTTTGAATTGCTTTCATTGTCTCATTAACGCATCATTACGTGAGCATGAACTTAACGGACTGGATGATGGGATCCGATTATGGTCCAGTTCCGATATTCCCAGCGTAGATTGTACCGATTCAAGGCAAATTAATTCCGAAAAGTTGAATACCAACTGCAAAACATCACTTCACGACAGCACTCGCTTTGTCAATAAGTGACTTTTAATTCTTTCACTTTTTCTGCTAATTTCAAATCTGGGCAATTATGCCACCTATAGCTGAGTTCGAAGTTAAATATTTCTTAGCTTAAGTGTTATCCGGAAAGAAATTTGCACAGGCTTATTCACGGAATGTGCCATAAGAAAAATTTGTCGCATGTTCCAGCGGCTTGATTTTCCTAACCTCATTTTACTAATTTGGGGATGCCAACATTTTTTGATTTTGATTTTCATGATTTATTAAAATTAAAGTCGGAAAAGCTTTGATTTCGACCTTGTTCATCGGAACCTAGGGAGTTTTGTAATTTGATTCTAATATATGGTACAACTGTGTTCTTATTGCAATTGTAAGTAAAATTATAATGTTTTACTGGTGTTGATATTATGATCAAATCTCAACTGTTTTTGGTCCAATCCTGCAGGTACCTCACTATGTTTTTTTTTTTTTTTTTTTTGGAATTAGCAGTAATCTTTTAAATATAATCAGAAAAAGAACATGTGAAATTTAAAACTCTTGCACCAACTTGTTTTACATATAATTTTCTGCTTATACTCATCGTTGATTTGAATTTAGATTTGCTGTATTAATATTTATTTAATTAGTGCTTTCATCGATACTCCTTTCACATTATCAGAGCTTGTGTCTTCTTTCAAAATCTCACAATTCTATTAGATAAAGGCTAATAGTCTGATAATCCTTCATTTTTTGTCTTTATTAGATTTCATAATTCCGTCGGGTAAAGACTGACTGTCCGATGACTTGTCATTTTTTGTCAACTATGAAGTTCTGGTGAAATCAAACTTATCGATATATAAGAAAATGGTATGAATCGTCCTGAGCTTTTGAAATATGGCTAAAAAATTTGTTAGACTTTATTTTCCTTTTTCAAAAGTGCCGTTAATTTTATTGACAGTTGATTTGTTGGACAATTAATTGTTTCAATTTCGAGGAAGGTTGGGGATTATTGAGGTATGATTCATCATCAGCTACTTCATGTTAAATCGTTTCGATTAAAACTTTTTTCTTCGCTTATTAATTTTTAAATATTCAATATTTTTCTGCGTTAGTGAGTGAAGTAGTCACCTTTCTTTTCCTCTTATAATTTTTTTCATTTAATTCAAGGCTTCAATGCTAAGTTGATTTATGATATCCGAAGTCGATGATTCATCAAAACTTGTTAATATTCGAAATTTAGGTCAAAAACCAAAGCAAGTAGTCCTGCTGTTTCTGTATGAGTGAAGTTTTTAGAACTCAATGAAAGAATGCGAGAAGCGCTGCAGAGATGGCTAAGTGCCATAAGCTATAGTCATTCTTCCGGTTAATTAATCCAAAGTGTTAGAATTATTAGGAAAATGGGAGTAAAGGATGGAGAGGGGAAGAAGGTGTAAATTTCAAATGCAGAAGTTTTAAGACAGCACAGTTTGATCTGCTCGGCCGAATTACATTGTTGTTAAATGGAAAATAGAAAAGAAGAAATTTAAAGAACAAAATTTGTAAGTGTTTGGGCTTAAGAGGTTATTGACGTCATAAACTGAAGCATTTGCTTGAAGTGTTGAGGACAATAAGAATAGGATAAGTGGACATTAAATTCATCGGAGAAAAACGAAATTATTGAGATAAAAAGGAGCAGTAGAATAAAAGCAAAGACAAACATATGGCCAAATACAAAAAGAAATTTTAAATGATAAGGATCTTAATCTTAGGGAAAATTTTTTTCATTAAAAATTAATTGAATCTACTAATTTGAAAAAGATAATAAATATTCTAGTAATCACTTGAATGCTTTTAATTCCATTGGACTGCAAATATTCCAGTGCTAACTGTTTTTCACGTTTTATTATTTTCTTAAATATGAGCTGAAAATAGTAGTTGAAAAACATTTATGGAATCTTCACTTATTAAGATGGTATGACTGATGATAGATGTGACATTTGCAATTAATTATTCATAACTAATGTGGATAACAACATTTGTGCTGGGGGTTGTTTTGTCTTATCATATGACAGCTTTTTTATCAGTGATTGATGGAGAAGGCATACATTTCAATTTATTTCCTTAAACGAGTCAAGATTATGAGGACAGTCCAGTAGTAGTGAGCCTAGCAGTAGTCTTGTAATAATGCGAAATATCTCTGCAAACTTCTCTTATATCTGAGAATAGGGCTAGTATAAAATTTAAGTGATAGTTTTTATGTTAATTTTTGAAATATATGTTGTTAACAGGATAGTCGAAATCGATTATCCAATCAGTTAAAGAGTGATGTGCTGAAGCTTCTTGAAATTGACGATCTTGATTGATAGGAGCAATTAGAACTTTTCTAATATTTTCTCTCACTGCTTATTGTCTTTTTTTTGCTGAACAAATAAATAATAAATGTATTTGCATTAGCTTCAAGATTTATGTAATATTCATTGTTTTAAACCTTTTTGGAAGAAGAGAAAAATATACATTTCTTCGTTTGGCGAGAATTCAAAGGAGAAATTTTTTCTTTGTAATAGACTAGTTGTTAGTTTCATGCTTGATGAAGCAGAAAGACAAATATTGATAAATTTAAACGTGTGAAATGAAGGAAATAAGTGGAGAGAAGTTTATATTTGTTTATTTAGTACTGATCTAATATTTTTTAACTACTAATTGTGGATGGAAATATTTCCGCTTGATCAAACACTTTTTAGTTGGGAAGAAAAGCAAGATCGCATCGCTAGTTTATAAAATCCTAAAAGATGCAAGAAATCTTGTAAAGTTTCAAATTTGTAACAGTTTTTATTGTAGATCATATAAGTTCACCCTAGTAAGTTTTCTGTAAGACTTATAGGTTAATATATAATCCCGCAATCAACATAGCAATTTAATTTTGTCTGCATATCCAACCTTCTTCTTGCTTTAAATTTCGAAAGTTAGTTTCTTGTGGTTCTGGTTCAGGAATTAAAACTGGTTTTCATTTTATCTATCTAGCAGTTCCAAATTAATTGCCGAATTGTAAACTAGGAAACTAGGGAAAGTTCTGTTGGTTCAGCATCTGGTAAAATTCTGCTGTATTTTAACTGATTTCATTCTGTCAGCGATAAATATGGACATATTTTTGATTTTTCAAAATATTTGTTTCATGCTAAAATCACTCTTTATTTAATCTATAGCAATTTAAGTAACAAATGGGTAACATCCATCTCATCCAGTGGTAATTATCTCTTTCTGTTTGGTAAATATCTCCAGTGGTAATTATCTCTTTCTGAGATAAAATTAGTAATTCGCTGGTCGTATAGACTGCAATTCATTTAAAGTTTCCCAAAAGTAGCACTTCAAGTTGTCAATATCCAAATTAATTATTCAGTTGTGAATCTCTTGTGCCAGTAGGCAACGTTAATTAATTACGACCACGTATAAATATTGCTTACGTTTGTCGCGGCAGAAACACTTTCAGTGAACAGGAGATTTGTTGACATACAAGTAAACCGTACAGAACAACCACTGTCCAGATTAAATCCAGATTAATGACGTCGTAGGACTTAATTTCGCTTGAAAGTTTGCAAATTGACATTAGAAAAGAATCTTACTGTATTGCAAAAAATATTGTGTTTCTTCTAAAATTTTAATGTAAAAAAAATTCTCCATTTTATGGAAAAGATTATACTAATCTCAGTTTGATACAGGCGCGCATTAGCTAAATCAGCAGTATCTAAGCGACTAGTAGATGTAAACTCATCCCAGTTTTATGGTACCACGGCGGCACTATGCAAGCATCGTACGAAAAATTATTGGTTCGATCTCAAGGTTAGCGTTTCTCGTATAGATATAAACTAGATTAACTGGAGCTGTATATCTTTTCGACTGAACCAAGTTAACAACAGAATGAGTCATAAGAGTGAAAATTATAGACATCCGAAATTAATACCTAATTTGTCAATTTTCTTAAATTAATTTTTTAATTTTTAACATTTATTGAGACAATGAAAAATTATGCGAGGAAGTCATAAATTATTTATTCCAGACCCATGCTGATGAGCATATTTGGGTGCCATCGTCAGGACCAAATACCATGGCAAGCAGTTCACGTGATACTGAGTGTTATGTTGGTTAGCGGAATTTCGTTTGTCCAGAAATTAAGCGATTGATTCCCTTTTTGAAGATGGAATAGTTTTCGAAGGAAATATAATAACATTCCATATCATATACGGAATAATATTATGAAAAGAATTCCATCTCACTATCTACTTTCAGTTTGATCACCGGGGTAACAATTCTAAAATTAACCTTGAAATGTTTCCAGGTGAACGAGATTGTCGGAAAGTTGGAGAGAAGCGGAGTTGTGCCGCATGTCATATTGTGGTGCATACAGCATGCTTACCAATTTTACGACAGGTCGGTTTCCGAGATTCATTTTCTTAGAAGGACTAACAATTTAGACTCCACCTATAATTTTTCACAGTTCTCTTTCCACTCAGAATTTCACCAGGTCTTCTTATCTTAAGCAGCATGTAAAACTCACCATTTATGAAACTCACCACTGTGTATTTTCATATTTATGTGAATTTGAAAGACCTTCTTTCCACTTTAGTTATACATGAAATGCAAGATAACATATCATGAAGAAAGTACAGTGAAGAAACAAATTGCTTCAAGTAGCGGTCTTATGGAAGAATCGTTGAGTGGACACCATTGGCTGCATAAATGGAAGCAGGAAGGACGTTGCTTACGTTGCTGTAAATCGTTTCAGCAAAAAATTTTCCACGATAAGGTAAATTTAGACTGTTATCATTTGATCGGGATAATTTTCATGTAGAAGATCGGAGCAGTTTAAGGATGCTGAAGTAAGTGAGCAACTATTATAATTGAAAAGGAATAACGTAACAGACTAAGTTACGTCTATCGCATAATGATTGACATTATGTCGAGGATAGACAAAATTTATTTTTTGTTCCGTTTTGCTTTGTAATTCGACTTAATATTAAACAAATTTCACCGTGAAATCAAATTGAATTTCTAAATTCATGCCATCAAATCAAACTTATTTATCTAATTACTAGATTGTAACCGTATTAGAAGATCTGAGATATTAACTATTTGTATATATTAGGTGAGTCAAATTCTGACTTGCTGTCTTGAATATCTCTAAGTTACAAAGCGGTTTAGTCTTTATGTTTCATCCCATAATGTGTTTTTGCTAATTCTTGCGTACTTCTTATTGAAAATTGTATTTTTTGATGTGTTTAATTTAGAAAAATTAATTTCGAAGTCAATTAATTTCATATATATATATATATATTATGAAGAAATAACATGAAGTAATATGAAGGGAAAACAGCTGGACATTCTTTGAAGAATGGCTCATGGAGAACTTTTCTGAAAAAAAAGCATTAACTATGTTATTAAAAAGAAGGAAAGGAAATAAATTCAATTGCAGGAGGTAATCGCAATCACTTGTTCGTGGTGCAAACGATCATATCATAACAAAGTAGAATGCTTTTCATCACAATGTTTTGAGAAATCATGCGATCGGGGTGATTTGAAGGAAGTAATCGTGCCACCGACATGGATTCAATGCTCAAATCAAACCCAAACAAGGAAGAGAAAAAAAGTTGCAAAGAGAAAGAAAGTATGGCTCACTCTGATTATAGTTTTATATGTTTTGATAACAAACTTAAACATATTGGTAATTTTACAACAAAATTTTTTTTGATATCTTCCACATAATCCAAGATGCCATTTCATCTATTATGTTGGTTACGAACGACAAATTGTGTTGTTTAAAGTTTCATTATTTCAGCGCAGGTTGTTTAGAATACGACCAGTGCCTTTGAATGATGGCACATGGCTTCCAAGTCAACCATTACTTGTATTTGTAAATCCGAAATCAGGTGGTAATAAGGGTTCCAAATTGTTACACACATTTTGCTGGCTTTTGAATCCACGTCAAGTATTCGACATTACTGCAATGAAAGGACCTGAATTTGGGTAAGTGTTTATCAAGTTTTTCCTATAATTGTGTTGTTTCGTATAACGTGGTTTACCTATATAATAAGAAACCTATCATAATAGTTCGTAAAGTAATACCTTAACATAATATTAAGAAATCAACTTATCACCAGTTTGAAACTTTCAAATATTATTACTGGAAATTAATTTTTGACAATATGCTTCAGACTTAGTATGTTCAAGAAAGTGGCATCCAATTTGCGTTTACTCGTATGCGGTGGCGATGGCACTGTTGGATGGATTTTAAGTACCCTGGACAGAGTTTGTTTTACATTTTTTTCAGATTTTTTATGAGCTAGAAATGACATAAACTTTTTTAAACAGTTATTGATAAAATGCATGTAACGGAGTAATAGTTATGATGGATCCATCATTAAGCAAGGTCTTTTTTATTTTATTCTTTTTTATTTTATCTATTCTATATTTTAAGTTCTACTTGATTTATAAGTAAAACAGTGTCCTCTTTCCACTGAATATTAATTTTAGATGAATTGGACGAAGTATCCTCCAATCGGTATTGTTCCGCTGGGCACAGGCAATGATTTGGCCAGGCAATTATTTTATTATGGTTCTGTTAGTAGTTAGGTTGTATGATTGAACCATATATTTTTACTGTTCATTCTTGTGATTGTTTAGATTTTCTCGCTTAGTTTAATTCTTTGAAGCATTATCTTTTTAATTAATTAAATCCATATTTTTCTAGATGTCTTGGTTGGGGTGGTTCGTTCAGTGATGAACCTTTGGCAGAACTTCTAAATGCTGTTATTCATGAAACATCTATCACATATCTCGATAGGTTAGTCTGCTTTTTTTGTTATTTCACTCCAGAAATCAAAACTAGGTAATTTTGAATGTAGTAAGTCATTGACGATCTGACCAGGGATATAAGATTAAAATAAAGCTTAAAACTGCTTTTCACATGTACTGAAAAGGATTTATCAAATTTGTTTTAGCATTTATAGGTCTTATTAGAATTCTCTCATTCACATAAATATAGAGAGAAATTTAGGTGGAATATAAATGTCGAAGCTAATCTGCTGTTGTCAAATCTGCGACAAGCGGATGAAATCGACAAAGCTGCTCAAAATGTGCTGACATTAACGGTAATGAACAATTATTACAGCATTGGAGCTGATGCTCATGTGGCCTTACAATTCCATCATTCCAGAAGTTAGTTTGAATTTGGATTGCGGTAAACCTTGTTTTATTTTTTTAATATTGCGGCAGCTCTTCAGTGATACTATTATGCTAATATTGACTTATGTTGGTAATCGGTAATCAGTTCAGTTTATAAAAGCTTGCTGGTTGTAGGTGCAAATCCACAAATGTTAAACAGTAGGCTGAAAAATCGAATAGCATACGGTGGACTGGGTACCATCGATTTGTTTAAGCGGACCTGGAAACTTCTCCATGAATACATCACTCTTGAGGTAATAAACATAACAGATTTTACCCTTCCAAAGTCAGTATCTCTGTGAAGTAAAATTGCGTGATTTATCCTCTTCCTTCCATAATGTTTAATAAATTTATGTCCTTTTATATGAATTTCAGTGCGATGGAATTGATTTAACTTCAAAAATTAGGGAATTCAAATTCCACTGTATACTATTCCTTAATATAACATATTATGCTGGAGGGACAGTTCCATGGAGCAATGATGATGAGGAAAGACGCCGACCTTCCAGTTGTGACGGCAAATTAGAAGTTCTTGGTTTCACAACTGCCACATTGGTATATTTTTGGGATTTCAAATTTAAAGAAAATTTTATGTAAGTATATAGGTTACAGGAAACCGTATAGGTTCCTTAAGTATTAGGTTTGAAAATTATTAGCATTTAATCGTTAGCAATCGCAAACTTCATCTATTCGTTTCATTTGCTGCCTCTAAGCCATTTTTATCTCAGGCTACTTTGCAAATGGGTGGCAAAGGAGAACGAATAGCACAGTGCTCTCATGCTCGTATTACAACAAGCAAAGCAATACCAATGCAAGTAGATGGTGAACCATGTCTTCTAGCACCGAGTACCATCGAAATTACTTTTCATAGCCAGGTTGATTCAACTTTAATAAAGCACTGGTTCATCTTTTTTTTTTTCCTTGTTCTTATTACCATATTGTTTTGTTTAGCATTCCATTATATTTCAACTTTTTCTCTCATCAGTGTGTTTTTTTTGACCTGTTTTAATTTGAAAATGTTTTCCTCTCGCAGTTGCTTTAAGTAAGTATTATAGGTTCCCATGTTGCGACGTGAGAAGAAATCAAATTATATGCCAGGGAATCTTAAGAAACAACGGAAAATATCCAAACAGCAGCGCAGTAATAGTAGTAGCCAAGCGCCATCAACTCCAATAGGCTATTCACTGCCAGTACTACTGACCAATTCCATCGAATATAATGCTAATCGGGATAATCTGGAACGCCTCAGAGTAGCTGGTAATATTTTCTGAAAATGCCCATACTCTTTTAAGATGAGACTTTATATTTGATGTCTGTGATGATAAAAAAGCAAATTTTTGAGTTTTCGAAGAGATTTATAAGCTCAGATATCGGTTGTATAATTCTCATAATTGCACATACTTTGAATGACTCATGCAGGTTATTTAATAAAATTTATAACCTCCTTTATTAATTTAAGAATAGTTCGTAGCTTTTTGACAGAATGTATATCAATCACAGACGATACAGCAGTATCAGAAGCTATTCCCTCAAAAATTGTATTTTAGCGAGTCTGAATTGAACTTATAAGAAGGTTAAAATTTCTGAAAAATTTCATTAGTTTTTACAAGTAAAAACTTTTCAGCTGTAGAGATCGGTAAAATTAATGTAGAAGCAGAAGCTGAATTGGATGTTGTACGACAAAAGATCGAAAAACTTATTACTGTTTGCTCAAATTTGAATTTGGGATCGAATAGCGAATGGAGATTTCTTGATTGTTAGTAAATTTTTTAATGAGGAAATAAGGGGAAGCATCTTTATTTCTACTTGTGAGCAAAATTTTCTCCGGCTACTCTGAATTATTGATTTCTTAAAGATATTTGTAATATGTTGAGTTCTCACTCCATTTTATCTTTCTTTGGTTAATTGAAATTCGCGTCGTTTCTTATTATTTAACTGGTTTTGATGTTATTTTTGAATCTGAAGATGTAAGAAACGCTGAAGAAGGTGTATTTCGTGTGCACCGTTATCAGGAACAATTCATGACATTGTCGGATATATGCTGTTTGGAAGAATGTATTATGATCTTGAATAATATTTTGGTCAGGCGAATGCATTCTGATGATGATTCAAACCAAATTAAGTAACTTTTTTTTCTCAAATCGTTCTTGTTGCATTAATTAAAATGTTGCCCTTTAACTGTCCATAAATTTATCTGACAGCTGGAAGTTTTGTTGAACTGAAAAATAATACAAATATTTTATTTTGATTAAAAAGTTCAATTGCAAGTGAATTAAATAGATATTAAAAAAAAAAAAAAAACAATGCTATAGGTTAATTGATGCTTCCAAGATGTTATGAAATTCTTTAAAACGTCAGTGTTGTTTATTTTTTTTTTAAAGAAAAAACTTTGTAAATATTCATAAATTCATCTGCAATATTTCGAGGTCAATTTCAGGAAGAACATATCAGATCATGACGTTTGCTTAAACGATGATACATTGCATATCACATTCCAATGCGATACTCATGAAACGCATCTATAACAGCAATCCAGTGTAATTGATACCTATATGTCCAGTGATTTATTTTTTGTATACAGCGCGAATCAGTTTATTACTTGTTTATAAAAATTGTAAATTGAGTTTTATGTAAAAAATTTTGTTTTATTCAGAAGATTCTATAGTCACAGAAATCTTTGTTGTGAAAAAAAAAGGTTCGAAGTGAAGTCATGGATCTGAGTTCCAAAAAGCAAGAAAGCGTCTCTAATTTCTAGTTTCTTCGTAGGTAGTCGGAATGTTCATTACTGTTTCGTTATCATAATAGTTTTTATTAGTTATATTTTATTGTTGTTATATTTTTTCTTTCATTTTCAATTCTTGGATGTTGTTTCATGAGTTAAAAATTTACCAATGAAACTCCAAATAATTTGCGAGTTTATAACTGCCTGAAAACATGATACTAATTATTTTTGTACTATTATAGATGCGCTGTAGTTTTGGTACTTCAAACTTGATTTTTTAATAAATTAATTAGCGATATAAAATGTGTTGTATAAAGGGAGCGCTGATTAAAAAATATACATTGTTCATTAAGGATTTTAATTCAACGTTTCACGTTTTTCTATTCCCATTTTATCTAGGATCGGATATATTCTTGATAATAAAACACTTGACTTCAGTATAAGGTTTCGAAGAAAAAACGAAAGTTTTGTGATCCGAGTAGAAATCCACTTTCTCTTGACTTTGGAATTTCAAGTTTTTCCTTCTTTTTCCTAAGCAAGAGGTATATTGAATTAAATGAAATGCAAATTTTTGAAAACTTATAAAAGAAAGTGGTGAAACGTTTGCAATCATAGTTTAAAGTCATATAAATCATTAAGTGCGGTTTACTCGTCAACAGCAAATGACCACAGTAAAAAATTATAAGTATCATGACTGGAGGCAGTTGAACATTCGAGGAGGTCTATCTAATTTTTAAATTGAAATTGAACTTTATTGAGTCTTTCGAACAGAGGGTACCAGCGGTATAAAAACGTTGCATTTTCACGAGACACCACGTGGTAGTGTCGGAAGCACGTCAATTCATTGTTAAATATTCAGAACAGTGTATGAAAAAGAAATCTGAAATTGATGAGACACGAAACAAGAAAATAAACTGGCGTCATTTTTTCATCATCTGCTCAGTACTTATCTCAGCATATCTCATTAACGGTGAGCATGCTCAGACAGTATGCAATATATGCACCACAGTACCAGCCGCTATCTTTACTTACGAACAACTTTCCGATCACACAACTCGGATCTTTGCTTATGTAAGTATGAAACATGACAGAGTTACGTAAGTATTTTTAACGTAAGTACGTTTAAGTAAACGTAAACACCTACAAACACGTTTAACTTCACAACGTTATTACTACTGCAAATTAGCATAATTATGCATTTTGGTCATCAAAGCCTGCAAAGACAATTGAATTCTAATGGAATGGATTGAGATAAAATGAGATGTCAATTGAAATGAAATTAAATGATTAAAGAAGTAAGTAAGAATGGAATTAGTTAATACTCGGAGATTGGAATTGGATTCTAAGTTATAGTTGGAATCAGTGATACTTTAGAAGGCAACGCTTTTCTATTGGTCAATTCATGGAATTTTGATTGCATTCGACAGCATATTTGTGGATGCATTTGGATACTTTTTCGGCAAATTCATCCTTCTCATTGTCCTATTTTTCAATGTTGTTTATCAGCATGATGTCGCCAAAAGTCTTATGGAGCAGCAACAACGCCGTAACGCAATGGCTAATTCGATGGTTAGCTCCGACATACCTGTTCATTTTTCAGGCTCGTCTTATGCATCGCAAATTGGTCTTAATACAGCAATGACAATCACCGATGCGACGCAGTTTTCTGCCGAAGTATGCATTTACTGAAATTTAAACAATTTAGAAATTTCAGATCATTAGGCATTATGGCGTACTTTTACGCAATTTATTTTAAAAAAAATGAAAAATTCTAACATGTATGTAATATTTTCGGTTTTGCAGAGTCTCTTCAGAAGGTATCCATCATTACATTATAATAACTTAACAACTGCATATTCATTGTCTCGTAGTCCAGAGATGACTGCTTACTTGGATACTTCTTACACTCACGACGGATCTCTAAAAACAGTCGCTTCTACTACAGTAAGCTAGTTGAAATAATTAAAACTTGGATGAAAATGAAAGCATAGAACTTCAATTATTTCACACTTCTTAATCTGTAATGTACGCGGTTCATTTTCCTAAAATTCCGAAACAAAATTAAAACATAAAAAAAGTTTTAATTCATTCTATTATCAATTAATATTGCAGGAACAATTCAAATTTGGAATACAGAAGCACCGACAAATTACCCTGAATGACTCATCAATATTGTCAGATTACGGAGAAAATGATGGATCAGAAAATGACACCGTGAAATCGATTCCTGCTGGTGACTGCCAGCAGAAAGTTGAGAATGAGGCTTGTTACTTACTTTTGAGGAAATTCGTAAAACTTCGTTTATTCGTTTCCAAACATAACAAATTCACAAATAATCAGGAGATCATGAGTTTTGCATTCAGGCAGGTGGTTCACTACATTCCAGCGAATATTCGACGTCGACGGCGGTGAAAGAAGAAGAGACTCTTGTTACTAACCCAAATGAATTTGTAATTACAGTCTCACTTCATAATTCCTTTATGTCATTTGCAATTTTAATATTGGAAGTGTCTAAAAATTTCAAGCCTTAAAACTTCCTTTATGCTTTTCTTTCAGATAATATTTAAGCATCCTTTTACGGAAATGGTGACAATCCACGTGAAAAACAAGCACAGTCGTCCGATAATGTGGGCTTTGAAGACTAATGCAATCAAGCGCATGATTGCACAGCCTACTTGTGGCACTCTGGGCAAAGACGCCACCGTACACGTAGGTCTAAAGATTTGTTAAGGAACGCATTAACCACCAAAATAATAAGATTAAATTTGTCAAAGGATAAATTGATACTGCTCAGCGAAATTTCCCTTAAGATTCTGTTATTCATTGAATCAAACTGAATGACAAGTCTTTGAACTTTCTTATTTAAAAACTAACAAAAAGTTTGAATTTGCTATCCTATCCGGTATCTACTTTCCAGATTAAAATCGGAGTTACTGCAATACCACCTGAGGAATCGAACATGAATGATCGAGTTGCCATTGATTATTGTCTAATTGACGATGATACAACCGGCTTTGACCGCTCATTTTTGTACAACACTGAAGATCCATTCCGCAGACGGAAAAAATTCAATATTTATTATGAAAATTAGCAAAAAACTGGTGCATATCTGAAGAGATCTAACACTCCTACTCCGCAATTGAGGAAATCATATTTATCAATTTATTAACTAGCAAATAAAAAAAATTACCATCGTGTGTGTATGCTTGAAATAACACAAAACAGAACAATTGTTTACCCAAACTTTAATCTAGACTGAATAAGACTGAAGTTTGAAAGGACGATAAGGAAAGCAAGGGCATCCAACATCTTTTCTTAAAATCAACATTATTGATACACCCAAGTGCACTTTTGAACAACGAAAATTTTTGTGAATGTTTGACGTTCTATTTGATCTGATCAAAAAGTACAGCAATATATATTTTTTCTGAATCATCTGCCAGGAATATACATTGATTAATCAGTTTTAAGCAAACGCTGCTATTTTATACATAAATGAACAGTGACAACAAATGCTCAAAATCAAAATTAAAAATTGGAAATCATTATCTTCTTACATTTGAAGTTCGGATTCAAACGAACGTCTGTCTTTCGTTTTTCGGCTGAAATAGTGTTGCCATTTTATCAGAAAATTCTGATGAAACGGATTCGAACGAGAGTTGTCCCGGAAAATTTGTGAGTTTTCTGGAAGATCTCATAGAATCTTGTTTTTCCAAACTGTTTGTCCCAAATAGAAAGTCGTTCGGCGAAGTGTTGTCTTTATTAGAGAAATTGATGGACGATGAAAGACTTGGAGTTGAATTCTTCGACAACTGATTCTCGGACATATCTGTGACACAAGCGGGTTCTGTTGCCAAATAGTTTTGATTATTGAATTGCCAATAAATTCCATTTACTTTTTCGGTGGGTGAAGTACTTTTTGGAGAAGTAGAACACGAAATAGGACTTTTAGATCTTTTTATCGTAACGCCAGCAAGTTTACTTTCCGTTTCCGATTTATTCTTCTGCTTCCATTTGTCTGATTTGTCTGCCGGGTGTGTTTTGATGTTTTTCCTGGAGGAAATCATTTAAATTTCTACAAACCATTTTAATATGAATCCATCATTTCATCATTATTTATTCTTCGAATAAATAAATTAGAAAAAGTTTAATCAACTTCATAGTTTAGAGATTTAGTAGAATTTTTAGTGGTATTTTTTTATAATTTAACGAGAAGGAATCATTACCAACTGTTTAAAGGCCAACAACAAAATGGATTGCACAGACCGTATTGACAGCATGAATAAATAAGTTCGATAACTGTAAGTAAACTTGCACCAAGGAAAAGACCAAGTGCTCCACCTACATCACCTGTAATAATTACATCACCCATAATATAATTGTGTTCACTTTTTATCCAAAATTCAATTGGAATCTAAAAAGAAAAATAATCTTGCATTCAACTCTCTTTAAACCTACATGCCAAACTCCAAATACTATATGTGCTTTCTTGTCGCCATGTTTCAATATTCATTCGATGCAGGAAAACATTCACCATTGCAAAATTTTGTCTGAAATAATTAACTTAATTAAGAAAAATGTACACGAAGATTTTAATACTAAGAAATAATTTGGATTAAAATTTTGATTAACTTAAATTACACTTAACATCCAAATGCTTTGACAGCAAGAAATAATTCCAAATGAAAGATTTAACTTTTTTTCTGAAATTTATAAACAATTTGCTGCAGTAGTGATCGACTGTATGAAGAATGAAACATAAAAATTCTTACTCTACGAATGCCGATCCAAAATCAAAATTGGCCAAATAAGCTGGTAATTCCTTTTGGTATAAATTCGAATATGCTGACTACAAAAAATTGTCCTTTAAAATTTAAAAAAATCTACTTTTATCTACTTTTACTAGGAACTAAAAGTACGATTTCGTTTAAGAATTCATGAACAAATAAAGGTAAAATTCTCCTCATAGATTGTTCGAGTGCACTTCATTTTACTGATACATTTAACAAATACTAAATGACAGGTTTGCATTTTTCAAGCTTACTAACTTACTCCCATTGATTAATTAAATTCCACACCAAGTTATGTTGCAGTTAAGTATGCAAGCCGTAATATACCTGAAATTCATGCATTACTTTCTTGAATGAATTCAACAGGATGATACTTTCATTTTTTACATCACCGAAAGTGCAGTCAACAATGTCGCGGATAAATGCACCGAATTGTTCTTTGTGATGCATTGTCGTATCACCGAAGTACAGCATAGAGCCCATCTATAACATTTCTCAGGAATTTTAAGGCATAGAATTCACTAAAGTAGAAAACTAGAGACAAGTGACTGTTAACTAATTTGAAATTATGCATAGTGAATTCATGCTGAAAGCAAAGGAATTATAAACCAACAAAATAAAATGAATGAAATTGTGCCATGAAACTAAGCACCTGTAGACCTCTCCCATCGTCAACAGCGGCCATGAAATTTTGCAATTCATCATCAGCTATATCAACAATGTTACGAACTAAATTTTCATCCAGATCTCTTAGCATTGGATTGTACCAGTCCTGTAAGACATTGTATTACAATCAAGCTTAAATATGCACTTTGTGATAGGT